GCACGACCCCTCCCACTGGGGGCAACAAACTGACCAGTCCCCTCTCAGTAGGCCACAGACACTTCGCTTGCATAGTAGGCTGGCTGGGCTACAACTCATGCCATTTGCATAGCCTGTTGACCAGTCCCTGCAAGGTGCATACCAGTCGCAGGGCAGGCTGCAGCCCAAAACCGAAAAACCAAACCCATTGCCGCTGAGTTGATTCCGACTCATAGCAACCCTATAGGACAGGGTAGAACTACCCTATAGGGTTTCCCGGAAGCAGCTGGTGGATTTGAACTGCCAGCCTTTTGTTAGCAGCTGAGCTTTTAACTACTGGGCCACCAGGGCTCCTGGCTGCAGCCCAGGACCAGACAAAAAGTATCAAAACCAAGTTGTTTACAACTTACCTCGGAAATGTCAGTCAACCTGGACAAAAGTAACAAACCCTTTAGGGTAGAAACCTAGACTAGGGCAAAGGTAACTTCTCAGGGCTTAGGGGAAAGATCTCTCATGCTGCCTTTCCAAAGAACCATGGCAAAAGGCGACATGAAAGATCTCATTTCACCACAGGTCCTGTTCAGCCAGGTGTTGGCTGGGGCTGTAGTCATCTCAAGGCCTGACGGGGGGAGGGTTCCCTTCCTAGCTCCCTCATGTGGGTGTTAGCAGGATTCAGTTCCTTGCAGGCTGTTGGACTGAGCGCCTCAGTTCCTTGATGGCTGCTAGCTGGAGCCCTCCCACCCCCAGTTCTTGACACGTGGGGCCTCCCTATAGGGCAGCTCACAACATGGCGGCTAGCTTCCATCATAATGAGCAAGAGAGTGTGAGCAAGATGGAAGACAGCCTCTTTGTAACCCAGTCTTGGAAATGACGTCTCATCGCTTTTGTATTCTGTTCATCAGAAGCAAGTCGTTAGGTCCAGCCTTGCACCCAGGAGGAGGGGATTGCACAAAGGCAGGAACCCCAGATGACATATCAGTGCCTGGGGCAGCGGGAGGGGTGGAATCCCTGTGCCACAACATAAAAGGAGCAGCAGCAGCAAGTGTGATATAATTACTGATATTTTAAAACTACATGAATGTCCTTATTTCTAGAATTAGCCTGTTGAACCAAATCAGTAATAAGAAATGTTTAGTGAAGAAATTTCTTCCTTGTATCAGTTTAATATAAGGACCATGAACTAAAGTCTAAAGCTAAGCTAAACCTATTATTGTAAGGCATTTAAAGATAGGCCATGTCTGTATCCTAAAACAAGTTAATACCCACAGGCTAAGGTTACTATTCCCAAGTACTTGCCCGTTTACTCAGTCATGTCTTCTGCTTCCTATGTTACGTTTGCTTCTTTTTTAAAGGAATGTCGTTTTACTCTTAATTCCGTGTGTGTCGAATGTCACGACTCACTTGACGTTCACCAGTCAGTATCAGATACGAACGTTTATAGTAGATAAAACCAAAAAAACCAAACCCCTTGCTGTGGAGTCAATTCTCACTCATAGCAACCCCATTTGTTACAGAGTAGAACTGCTCCATAGGGTTTTCTTGGCTGTAATTTTTACAGAAGCAAATCACCAGGCCTTTCTTCTGCAGTGCAACTGGGTGGGTTCGAACCTCCGCCTTTAGATTAGAAGTCGAGTGCAACTGTTTGTGCCACCCAGGCACCTTTTATAGCAGATAAGGAAGTAGCCTATCACTTACAGGTGTTTTCGTTTTTAATGTGTTGAAGTGCTAACAGCTTCAGATACTTTACAAGCACAGGCTTTTAAGAAAGCTTTTGAACAGAAGACAAGTTCTAACAACTTTCTTAATAAGTCTTTTACCTCGTTTCTGGACTTTTGTCCACTGAGTGCTATAATTAAAAAAGACAACTGAATATTCTGGTTTATTTAGAGAAGAGACGGCCTTCAAGATAGCTGTTTAATTTAAAATTTTTTTCTTTCCCTTTATATTTTCTTTTAGATAGTAAGGCTAAAACACGTCACAGTTGTAACAACAAAGAA